AAAGAAAGAAAGAGAGAAAGAAAGAGAGAGAGAGAAAGAAAGAAAGAGGTTGGTTGGGAGGGAGGGAAGGAAGGAAATAAAGAAAAGAATGGCCGTGTTTAACAGTCAGCTGTCGAAGTTCATGGAAATTTAACAATCTGTTCTCATGAGTCTGTGCACCACTGGCTCCAGCACACACTTGTTCTAACCAATTTAGAATAAGAACACATATTGCCTTGACCTGTCACACACACTGTGTCTCAAAATGAGCCTTTGCTGATTCAATTTCCACTTCCCACAATGTCTTCTGCCATACAACCCTTGGAAGAAATTCCTAACAGCTCATTTTTTTCTGGCAGCTTGTGTCCCCCTCCAGGAAACAGACCAGTTCAGTTTTTTCTTCTCAGACCTCCTGAGCACTTACCTGTTTTCTCTCTTTATGTTTAGAATCCGCTCCGTTTCACCATTAGCTCTTAAGCTTCTTGAGGGAAGGGTGTGATGTAAACCTCTCTGGTTCCTAATTGTCTAGCACATAATCGAACTCAGTGACTCACTGCTGCTGATTTTGACTTTCCATTACTGGTTACATTCAATTGTTGAAACTAAAATCTTGGGCCGTCTTGAATTGCTCTAGTCTTCATTACATAATAAATAGCTGTCCCCTGCCTGGCCTACTTGCTGCTACCTCCTCAATCAGGAATGATTTGACTATGCATTATATCTAGGATGGTTTCAAAATCATTAATTTGCTTTTAATGTGTATGTTAAGAAAGCTGACTGTACTTTTCCCACTTTTTCTTTAGGTGCTGAAAGACGGGCGTTTGGTAAATAAGAATGTATCATCTGAGTCTATACTAACAGTGTCTCTCCTTGGGAGGTGGTACACAAAGGACTCACTTAATAGGTCATGTGGGACGAGCAATTCATCAATAACTTACCTGCTAATATTCATATTGTTAAGGATCATAGCTTTGCAAAATATTGTAATGGTATAGGGCATCTCTTTATCACTCTGTTTCTGCTTCATATACTTGGCTAAAGGTGTTTATCAGCTTCCCAAGTTTACTAAGAAACTTTGAAGGGCTATTTTGGTAGTATAGACCAGTGAGTCCTTTCTCATCAAGAATTATTTTATAAGTATTATATAATGTTGTCCCTTTTTGGGCTCCTCTGAAATGCTGCAGTGTGGAACAACGGAAACAGTCCGGCCGTTTGGGTCAGATAAATGAAGATCAAACCCCAGCTCCAGGCTCATTTGCTTGAGACTTTGTGTGGGTTTGTATGCGTGCGAGGGTCCAGAGCGAGGAGTTTCAGGGCCGTTGCAAACACAGCTGTGCCCTTGAAGAGAATAGTAGTGATGGGAATTTAGAGGTTTATAACTGAATTCTTTGACATTAAAGACAATGTGAAGTCACCTAGTTTTCTGTGCTGATGATTATCAGGAGATTTACTTTCCAATCAAAAGGAAACATTGATGTTTATTTCTACAGTCAACGTAGTTTGAGGGCTAGAAGGATTGACTGCTATGCCAAGTTCACATCAAAGGAGAGCTGATCCAGGGCACTCATAGCCCCAACTGTCCCACCTTAAGGCTAAGGTATAATTTAATAGGCAGAAATCATATAATACAAAGTCCATGACAGTTAAAAGTAACATTATTTTCAGCATTTGGTCGACTTTTTACGAAATACATGTATTCCATGATACTTGAAGTATAATAGTATATTTGTTATTGATCGTTTAATTCAGATACTCATAAAATTAAATGATTTTGAATTTTCAGATTTATTTTCTGATTTTTATCTCTCCAAGCAATTTTAAATTCAAAACTTTTACAAAAATCACAATTGAAACATTTGTCTTTTATTTTTACGGTATTTTGTTTCCTTTAAAAGAGTTAATGCTGAATTATCTTAAGTGAGATGTTAAGCCCACTTTGTTATTTTAATGTAATGGAGCTTATGGGTAGAAGACCACATCTACTATTTAAAAAAAAAAATGCATTGCTGCTTTTCCTACCACTTCCGATAAGGAAATGGATGTTTTGAAGAAAACATTGGTCTTGTCCTCATTATGGAATATGACTAAGCCCTGGCCTTTTGATTGTATAGAGTCGTTGTGCATATTCCAATTACCTAGATATTTCCTTGAGATTTTGATACAATTTGAGGGAGGCAGAAATCTGCATTTGAAGTAAAAAATGTCTGTTTGTCATATTTAAGTAGCCAGTGGCTATTTTTATACTGATTTTGATATCGTGTGTTCTTTTCATAATCGTATTTTGTCACCACAAACATTAAAAAAAAAAAAAAAGGCATTTCCAAAATGCGGTTTTCAGAATCTGGGTTTTAACAGCAATTTTGAATTTGTAAACTTAGTAGTTGCAGAAATTGAACACTAGGTGGCACTCCGTTATCTTAACATTGGAAGTACTGACAAAATTGTTGACTTTTACTATGCGTAAGAAATATCCCAGGCACGAAAAAGTTGTTTTGATCATATGCATATATGTAGAATATTTTTACAGCACAGAAAGATTGTTAAAAGTGTGATTTTTTTATTTTCAGAAATCATATACACATGTAAGCTACAATTTTGAGTGTTTTATAAACACAAGATACATGTAAATGAAATTTTAATTTCATAACAACTTGTAAAAAAAACTTGTTGACAAGCCTTTTTCAACATATATCTAAGCTAGGGGAAAAGGAGGGAATAACAACTCAATGGAAAGATGGTCTCCAATTTCTCAATGGAAAAGCTACAGCTGAGAAATAAAACATCATACTGCAGAAGATGTTATAAGCTTATTTTGTGTTAAGGATATGTTTTGTTATGCGAACAGTTTTGGTGTTTTATTTTTGTTTGTTTTTGGTTTTTTGCTTGTATTGGGAACTAGGTTTACTGGTAACTTCTTTGTTTAGTTTTTAGTTGTCAACTCTCATAAAATGAAACTAAGGCTGAGCTAGTTAGCCTTCACTAGCCAAACTGAAATCATCTGCAACATTAAAAGAAAAGATCCATCATGTAGCTTGTGACACTTTTATTCTTTTTCGGGGGCGGGGGTTGGAGTCTCACTCTGTCACCAGGCTGGAGAGCAGTGGTATGATCTCAGCTCACGGCAACCTCCACCTTCCTGGCTCAAGCGATTCTCCTGCCTCAGCCTCCCGAGTAGCTGGGATTACAGGCAAACGTCACCACGCCCAACTGATTTTTGTAATTTTAGTAGTGACAGGGTTTCACCATGTTGGCCAGGATGGTCTTGATCTTTTGACCTCGTGATCCGCCTGCCTTGGCCTCCCAAAGTGCGGGGATTACAGGCGTGAACCATCCAGGCTGGCTATGACACTTTTATTCTATTAGTCCCCATGGAGCTTTTTAGTGATGAAAAGTAATGCACAGGGGAATAAACCTTCACATGGCTTCAAAAGAAAAACATGCAAATCTTCTCTAATCTACTCTTACTATAATTTCCTAAGTGTACAAACTCTGAATTCAAAAATCTGAGGTACTATAAAACATTAAGTTGAAGAATAGAAATTAAGAGTACATATTCATGGTTTATATTTCTTATTCTATGGAGTTCCTGAACAGTGTCCCTCTGTCGCCCAGGCTGTGGCACGATCTCTGCTCACTGCAACCTCTGCCTCCCCAGTTTAAGCAATTCTCCTGCCTCAGCCCCCTAGGTAGCTGGGATTACAGGTGCATGCCACCACGCCTGGTTAATTTTTGTAATTTTTGTGTTTTTAGTAGAGACAGGGTTTTACCATGTTAGCCAGGCTGGTCTTGAACTTCTGACCTCAAGTGATACTCCCACCTTGGCCTCGAAAAGTGCTGGGATTACAGGAGTGAGCCACCGCGCCCGGCCCCTTCTTTCTTAAAGTGAACGTAATACATATAGTTTGGCTGGGAGTCATCCCTCTTGGCTCCAGGGTGTGCACACATTGCCTAGGCCTAGCCAACCACAGACCGGACCCACTGGGCACAGAGATTCACACGGGGCTGAGCACGTCTGAAGCCAGGCCAGGGAGCATCCTCCCTAGGACTTTTGATTTAACAATTGGGAAAAAAGCACTCTCTTCTGTGAATAGAGGCACAAGAAACATGTAAATCTGGAGGTTTCAGGAGTCATCTTTACTGCAAATTGAAAAGCACCATGACCAGGAATAAGGAGAAAGGAGAGCTGAGCCAGCGAACTCTGAAGAGATCATTTCAGCACCTGGATCCAGCCAGGTGAAACTAGTACAGGTATTGATCGATTTACGACCTATGCAACTTACGACCATTCGACTTTACGACCACAATCGCTAGCCACGACTGCTCCGCGTCTGGCAGCGCAAATGTTGCCCAGCTGGGCATACGACAGTGCGGACCAGCTTCCGGCAGCACTACCATCTCCACGTGCACCGTTTCAACTGTACATATAGCCTACTCAACTTACGACCAAATCGTGTTACGGCCGGTCTGCTGGTCCCAATCGTGGTCGTAAGTCGAGCACTAGCTGTACTCCATTAGACTTTCCAGTTTGGTAAGCCAAGGAGTGTCATTTTTTTCTTCTAAAATTCTTTTGAGTTGTATTGCTATCACTTGGACAAATGTACTTCCTCATTTTTGTTACCCTTATCTAATTTTGCATAGTGAGTTGCATAAAACCTCCAATGCAAAGGCCCTGTGTGCTTTTCTTCCGGGTAGGAGTGGTGCTTTGAAGGCTTGGTATCACTCTTCTGCCAGTCTTGGGCGTAATAACCTCAAAAAACGAAGTGGGAGCAGTAGCTCCATAGAGGACAATGTATGGCTTTTGTCTCATGTGGAGAAAAAGAGGAGGAAGGCTACACTAGACCTGAGGAAAGAGCCTGCTTAGGGGACTTGGAAACATCAAAGCCTAGGGGAGTTTACTTACAAAACACTTATTTAAAAAACAAATGTGACCAGTGGCTCACACCTGTAATCTTAGCCCTTTGGGAGGCTGAGGCGGGAGGATCACTTGAGATCAGGAATTTGAGACCAGCCTGGCCAACATGGCGAAACCCTGTCTCTACTAAAAGTACAAAAATTAGCCAGGTTTGGGGACAGGTGCCTGTATCCCAGTTACTTAGGAGGCTGAGGCAGGAGAATCTTTTGAACCTGGGAGTTAGAGGTTGCAGTGAGCCAAGATTGACCTACTGCACTCCAGCCTGTGTGACAGTGAGACCCCGTCTCACAAAACAAACAAATGAACACACAAACAGAGGAAAGAACTTCTGGAGCAATGTCCTTGGGCTCCAGTGTTCAAGGATAGGGGCTGGACTTAAATAGGGTCAAGAGCAGTCACTTACAGTAAGGAGGGGAGGGGCAGAGTTTATAGGTACAGATGGCTGGCAGATGGTTTGGTACTTGGTGGGAGCTTGTGGAAGGTCTCTTCTAAGTTAGATAAATAGGCCTGATGTTCACACGGAAGTCTGAGCTAAAGATAGAGACACAGTAGTTATCATTTTGTAGGAGACAGTTGAGGGAATGAAGTAGAAAAATATCTGGGGGCAGAGGAGAGGTAGAGTAAGGGATTGAAAGTCAATGAACAACAATGTGGCTACTGTCCATAAGTACATTAAGAGTTTAGAGAAGGGAATAGCAACAAGACTGGAGAGGCAATGGATTTTAGTTCAAAAGGTAGGATTTCGTCAGAATCATTCCAGGATCAGAGCAACAGTGATTGTGTTATAATAAGAAGAGTGGTTTTAGCTGAGAACACAAAATATAAAATGGGACCAAGAGAAAGAAGGCTCTGACTGGTTTGATTTGATATATGCATGGAAAATATCTTAATTAATGAAAGCAATGGTCAAGGGAACTCTAATGGATTGCAGTGTCGAGGGTTGGGGATGGGAGGAGTGGGATCAGAGAGGCTGATGAAGTGTCTGAAAGAGGAATTTTTGCTCATGGGGTCAGGATATTGATAAGGAGAATGGAGAAGAGATTTTATAATGGGTATTAGAAATAAAGATTTAGGGAAAGTCAATAAACTTAGAGATTTTATTCCAGCACCTCTTCTCTCCTTTAAACTGTGACCCTTACATATTTAAAAGAATCCTATTTATTGTAATACAAAACTTCTGACTCTGAACTTCTTAATCCTACAATAATAGTAAACTGTCATAAGGATGATGTACCAATACAGTGTTTCAAATAACTTGTACCGGCAAGCCTGAATCCTTATGCACCTATGAAGCAAAGGCATTACTAACAACGTTTGGTAATAAACTCTTTAATTCAAGTTTCTATTGATTTCAACATAATAAAATGCTGGTACATTTCCTGGAACTAGGGGCTGGGGGAATGATGGGGAATTCCCATATGTTTCCTTTTGATTCTATTCCAAAAGTCAGGTGAACCAAGAAAAGGGTTAGAATTTCAACTTGAAATAGGAAAATCATTTTCTTCTCGTCTCAGATCAGTCCATCTGTCTTACACAGTTTCCCTCTGCTCCTCAGATATTTTCTCTGAAAAGAATTTATGTTTGATGTCTGACGAAAACAATTTATGTCAGACATAAATTCAGAATTTAGGGCTGAATTTACGTTCATATGTCCTTAGGTGCTAAAATGATATCACGGCATAAGGACATATGGAAACACCCTGGGTACCTGGGAGAAGAAATATTTTGATAATGGAAAAGTTTATTGAAGCCAGGGGACTTTGAATTATTGAACCAAATCAAACCCAAAATAGACACAAATCTCCATAACTTACAAGTTTCCTTATATCAAATGAGTATTAGAAAGACTCTCAAGAGGGAGAAGCAGTGTTAATGGCTCTAGAATCAGAGATTTAAACCTTAAAAAAAATCTACATTTTAAATTAACTCATATTTAAACAAGGAGATTCAATCCAAAATTAGATGAGGGAATTGAGTTTAATCAAAAAATATTTACAAAGCTTAGCACAGTATTAATTTCTACAGGAACAGCACCCTGCCCTTAAGGGACTTATTAGGATGATATGTTTAAAAAATAAAAGAATTAAGAGAGAACTTAACTCTTTTTGAATTATTGATTAGTGTTCATATGGAAGCAGGTTTAAACTGCAGAAGACAGGTGAAGCAAATTGCATCTCAATTACAAGAAAGAGTGTTCTCAAAATTGGCAATGTTCAAATGTGAAAGACTGGCCCATCAGGTGGTGGATTCCTCATTCAACATTCATTCATATATTGAGCTTTCACCGTCTGTCACACATGTGCTAGGGTGATGAGGTTCAACAGTGAGCAGGACACTTCCCTCACCCTCCAGGGGCCACACCCCAGGAAACATCATCTCTAGATGTTTATTGGACATTGATATTCTGAAAGAAAACATCAAGTTTCTTTTTAATCTCTATGAGAAGACAAAATATGCATATACAACAGTTAGTATTGGTATTATGTTTAAATTAAAGGCCAAGACAACAGCAAGGAGTGAGAGACATTCCACCGCACAGAAAAAAAATGCTCTAGGAGTTCAGAAATATCTCTTAGGACTGGGGTGGATTTGGGAGGACTCTAGGGGGAGCTAGAGCTTAGACAGATGGAGAACAAGGGCTTTATCAATAAAAATGTCCATACAAATGTGTAAGTAGAGTACTCAATAAATTGTTGCTATGATGACTACCTTCTGGAACAGTCCAGCATAGGCCCTATGAATAGGATATTGGTTTACCAGGAAAATGTTTTTATTCAAATAAAAGACTTCAACTGCCAGTGTGTTTTGGACTGGGGTGAATTCATCTGGTTGGCTCAATCTTTTAGTGTCTGGTTGACCTCTGAACAATGTCAACAACTGCACTATACGCTTGAGTCAATCCAATCATGTCCTGACTGTGTTTTCTTGCACAACACCCTTTTCAGTGCTGTGTTGTGGTGTTATGTAATGTATTTGTGAGAAAATATAAAGAGCTGATTGCCGGAAGGGATTTAACGTAAAGTTTTTCCAGTGAAACAAGACATAAGAATCTGAGTTTGTTTTTCAAAGATCACTAAAGTCTAGTTATGAGTAGATCATATTTTCCAAAATGTGTGGCACTTTCTGCCCTCCTTGTCCTGAGTGTTGGTGCACTGGACACATTTATTGCTGCAGTATATGAGCATGCGGTGATATTACCAAACAGAACAGAAACACCTGTTTCGAAAGAAGCAGCTTTGCTCCTGATGAACAAGAACATAGATGTTTTGGAGAAAGCAGTTAAGCTGGCAGCCAAGCAGGTATTACCCTTTTATACTTACAAAGGAGACTTGCAGTTTGGTAAGAGAGTATTTGGAATTCATGAGAAACTTTTTTGCCCCATTTGTTTTGAGCAGGGTGCACATATCATTGTCACCCCAGAAGATGGAATCTATGGTTGGGTCTTCACCAGGGAGAGCATTTACCCCTACCTGGAGGATATACCAGACCCTGAAGTGAACTGGATTCCATGTAGAGACCCTGGGAGGTAAAGTCATGTCATTACTCTGATTTCTAAACAAAAAGTTGTAATTTTGTAAAACACCAACAGTAAACTCACTAAATGTGACTGGTAATTGTGTTGACAAATAGTCAATCTGTGACATAGGATATAAATGTGTTTTTTCCCTATAATTTCAACTTTTATTTTAGATTGAGGGAGTACACGTGCAGGTTTGTTACATGGGCAAATTGCATGATGCTGAGGTTGGCGGTGCAATGATGGTGCCACCCCGGTGGTGAGCACAGTATCCAATAGGTAGTTTTTCAGCCCTTGCCTTCCTCCCTCTATTAGTTCCCAGTGTTATTGGCCCCATCTTTATGGCCATGAGTTCTCAATGCTTAGCTCCCACTTATAAGTGAGAACATGCAGTATTTGGTTTTCTATTCCTGTGTTAACTGGCTGGGGATAATGTCCTTTGTTGCTGCAAAAGACATGCTTTTGTTCTTTCTTATGGTTGCATAGCATTACATAGTGTATATATACCATATTTTCTTTATCCAGCCCACCACTAATGGGCACCTAGGTTAATTCCATATCTGTTGCTGTTGTGGAAAGTGCTGCAATGAACATACAAGTGCATGAGTCTTTTTGGTAGAATGATGATTTTTTCCTTTGGGTATATATCTAGTAATAGGATTGTGAGTCAAATTGTCGCTGTGTTTTAAGTTCTCTGAGAAATCTCCAAACTGCTTTCCACAAAGGTGAACTAATTTACATTTACGCCAACAGTGTATAAGCATTCCCTTTTCTCTGTAGCATCTTTTATTTTTTGACTTTTTGTAAATAGCCATTCTGACTGGTGTGAGATTATCATCTCATTGTGGTTTTGCTTGGCATTTCTCTGATGATAGGTGATGTTGTTTGTGCATGTGTGTGTTGGCCACTTGTGTGCTCTCTTTTGAGAAGTGTCTGTTCATGTCTTTTGCCCACTTTTCAATGGGATTATTTGTTTCACTATTGCTTATCGATTTAAGTTCCTTATGGATTCTGGATATTAGACCTTTGTTAGATGCCTAGATTACAAATATTTTTTCCTATTCTGTAGGTTGCTTATTTACTCTGCTGATAGTTGATTTTGCTGTACAGAGCTCTTTAGTTAAATTAGGTCCTACATGTCAATTTTTCTTTTTGTTGCCATTGCTTTAGAGGACTTAGTCGTAAATTGTTTTCCAAAGTTGATGTCCAGAACAGTATTTCTTAGATTTTCTTCTAGGATTCTTATAGTTTGAGGTCTTACATTTAAATCTCGAATCCATCTTGAGTTAATTTTTGTGTATGGTGAAAGATAGGGGTCCAGCTTCAATCTTCTATATATGGCTAGCCAGAGATCCCAGCACCTTTGAATAGGGAGTCCTTTCCCCATGCTTATTTTTGTGAACTTTGTTTGAGTTACAGATGGCTGTAGGTGTGCAGTTTTATTTCTAGGTTCTCTACTCTGTTCTATTGGTCTATGTGTCTATTTTTGTATCAGTTCCATGTTGTTTTGGTTACAGTTACCTTGGGTAATGTGATGCCTCAGCCTTTTTTCTTTTTGCTTAGGATTGCGTTAGCGATTCAGGCTCTTTTTTGGTTCCATATGAATTTTAGAATTTTTTTTTTTTCTAATTCTGTGGAAAGATGATGTTGGTAGTTTGATAGAAATACTGTGAGCAGTGACTGATGCCTATAATCCCAGCACTTTGGGAGGCCAAGACAGGCAGATCACTTGAGATCAGGAGGTCAAGACCAGCCCAGCCAATGTGGTGAAACTCCCATCTCTACTAAAATACAAAAATTAGCTGGGCGTGGTGGTGTGCACCTATAATCTCAGCTACTAGGGAGGCTGAGGCAAGATAATCTTTTGAATGACACAGCAAGACTCTATCTCAAAAACAAAAAAAAAGAAATAGTGTTGAATCTGTGGACAGTGTTCATGCTTCATAATGTATGTCATCTGGCATATCTCCTGTTTGGTAAATGACTTGAGTTATTGATGACTGGTTGGTTATTTGTTGCAATTGTCTTTTCAGAATAGTAGGTGTGACCAGGCATGGTGGCTCAAACCCATAATTCCAATACTTTGGGAAGCCGAAGCAGGAGGATTGCTTGAAGTCAGAAGTTTGAGACAAGCCTGGGCAGCAAAGCCAGACCCTGTTTCTGCAAATAAAAATAAAAATAAAAAAAATAGCCAGGTGTGGTGGTGCACACCTGTAATTTCAGCTACTCGAGAGGCTGAGGCAGGAGGATTCCTAGAGCCCAAGAGTTTGAGGCTGTAGTGAGCTATGATTGCACTACTGCACTCCAGCCTGGGTGACAGTAAGGCCTTGTCTTAAAAAGAAAATAGTAGGTGTCTACCCAATTTTTATAGTAAGCGTGTTTAATTGGGTTTGAACAAAGTGAAAAAGTTGTAATATCTAGAACCTGTGTTTTAAATACAAGTAAGCTGGTTCATCCAGGGATACCTGCCTCCTTCACAGGAAGAGTAAAAAGATGAATGAGTCTATGTTTCCAAAGAGCTTTGCTATCATTGTCATTTACAATGCAATCAATATGGTGAATGGAAATTGTATAGGACTTGAAAAAGGAAGCACTGCTTCTGGAACCACATTTTACGGCCACTTGGCTGAGTGATGTAACCGTATAACCTAAATGCTTAACGTTTCTGTTTCTGTATCTGTAAAACAGGGATAATAAAGTCCTTGTCTTAATTCTCTTACAGAGTAGACTAGAGTGTCAAGTGAAGTAATACACATGGAATTTGTACATTGTAATGCAGTCTCCAATGCTAGTTGTCACTATTACTTTTTTTAACAGAAAGGACTGAGTCTGAACTTCTTTGTATTCTTATCCTTTGAGAAATTTTAGTGATTATTAGTAGATGTAATTTAGGCATAAATTTCTTAAAGAAAATATGCATAATAAATAATCTATTTATGAAATAGATATTTTAGTTGTATTAACTTTTAAAAATAGTTCAAGGTTATTTATTTAAATGGCAAAATTGATGCGTTGTCATTTAACTTGCTAATTTTAAATTTACATGAACCTGTTTAGAACTACATCTATTGTGCAAAAAGAGAAACTTCTCTGATAATTTTGACTATGTAAAATTAAGTGGAAAGTCAAGCTCAGTGGTACAACATTCAGGCTCAGCTATGTGAATCAAGCCTCACTCCGGGATTTTTACCTTTGGAACAATATTCTCTAAATATTGCATGGTCTGTGTTTACAGAAACCGTGTCACCATGACTCAGCATCTACTTGCTTATGAGGCATTTCCCAGAATAGGAAGGAATTCCTATTCACTGCAATTCATGAGGCTTACACTAAAATGTACTCTATTTAACTGGGCTAATAAAAATGACTTTTCCAAAGAAAAGATATCCATAAATCTGATAATTAGCTATAGATAAATAATTTTAAGTTGGGAAGGTAAGTGACTGATGAAATTTCAACCTCATGAATTCTTACACCTACTTATTCAAATGACAACCTTTCAGTTCTGTGTTATAAAAAGGAGCAATCCAGTATTTAATATAATTATAATATTAGAAAAGAAAGTCAGTCTTCTCCCTAGCAATATTTATCCCTGAAGGGAATAATAGAGAGCCATACTATTATCCTTGTGTGTTTAAATATTACTATTTAGAGGCCAGGCACAGTGGCTCAAGCCTGTAATCTTTGGGAGACCGAGGAGGGCAGATCACGAGGTCAGGAGTTC